GATTGTTTAAAATTGTTGGAGGTTTCTGGTAGCTTGTGCAATAACCATAACTATGTGTGTGTGTGTGTGTGTGTGTGTGTGTGTGTGTGTGTATGCATACATGTATGTATATATATATGTATACACACACACACATATATATATAATGCTTTTTTGCTTTCAGATTAATAAAAAGTGCTATGGGGTAGTGTTTGCAATAATTTATATACATAGCTGTTTATGTAGACCATTTCTAGTAAATTATAAGCATACATTCATTTGAAACCACGTAGTTATTTCTCCAAAGTATTTTTCTACTTTAATATTATATTTTCATATTATATTAGTCAGCAACTAGAAATTTAGAATGGAAAAGTTCCATGAAAAAAAAATTAATTCAGAAATCTTTAATGTAAGACATCTGGATTCTAGGAACAGAGAACCACAGTGCATCGTCCTCTGACTGGCTCTACTTGAACATGCCCTAATCAGGTTCATTAGTAGGAATGTGTGGTCTAACTTCACAATGTGTGTTAAAGTAAAGCCACTCACTACCCAATTATACAGCTGCAACATTCAAAGACCTCACACACTTTTCCACAAGATGCCATGTAAAATTCCCTGTTGCAAAAGGTGCTCAAAATAGAGTCGTTACTGCAAAGGAGATAACTGCGCATTGGTCTTTGTTTTCTTTTCCCCTCTGGCTTTCAGTGTGGCCTTTAGAGGCCTCAACAAGAGGTAACCAGGACTTAGCAAGTAGGTCTTCTAACCAATAAATTATTTCACTTGAAAATCATACTTTAAAAAAACTCAGTAGTGTATAGGTTGAGGGGAAAAACAGTATGCTCACTTTCAAATCACTGCCGCCATCTGTATGGCTCTCAGATGCCTAATGCTCCAGTTTCTGGAGAGAATCGTTATCTATAAAACTGTATAGGCAGTTATTGATGCTATAAATGTACCCTTGATCCACACAGGCTGAAATACGCACATGGAACAGAGAGCTATTTGGAGACTGGAACCATCCTCACTGTTTTAAGTCAGTGGTTAACTAAGAAGAGGGGAAAATACTCCCAGGAAAGTCAATGTAAGTGGCAAATTCACTAATTATCTAGATTCACTAAGAAAATCTAGATAATTGTGTGAATACAAATTAAGACTCCCTTCCTATTTTGAGGGCTTAATGTTAAAAAATCCAACAAAAGAATCATTAATTTATTCAAATAAGATGGAGAAATGGTTCTCAAAGGTCAAGTTAATGTTGCTATGAGCTTGTAAGGAAGGACGATATCTCACAACATGAAGAAAATGGGTGAACTTTCGGAGACCAAGATGAACCCTTTTGTGAATCTGTATTTGATCTAAAAATAGATAAACACTTATTTTCAGACACCAATTAATTTGAAAATGCAATAAAAGGGAGAAAGGATTATCTTCAAAAACTGACTGCTGGATTACATTTTTTAAATACAGTCATAATAAACTACAGCCTACTTAGAGGTCACACTTTTAGACACTCCAGATATTAAAATAGATTTTTAAAATACTGTTTATGGGGAAATTAAGCTAAAAATACATATATAGGCAATAATTCTTTTACATATAAATAATGTAAATGGAAGCTATGGAAATAATTCATTATCTACTCTAATTAATATGCACAATGAGCTTCTTGCCAGCTACACAATGCCATGATTTAATTCCTGACTTGGAATGGTTAGAAAAATAAAATGCATCTCTGTAAACATTATCAGCACCAAAATACTGCATATCATGTAGAGTAAAAATGAAGCAAGATTATATTCAAGTAAACTCAAATTTCTTGAGTCATTTGTATTCAAATCTCAAATTTATCTATTCCTTTTCAAATGAAGAAAAAGACCTATGATTAAAACCACATTTGCTGTTTTTCTGTCATTTACCACTGACACATAAAATACAATAAAGGTGAAGCTATTTCCTTAAATAGTGCATATCTTGTGAGAAAGCTACACACTTCAATTAATGTATAAGTTGAATATTTAAAAATATATCCTATTAATGACCCATGCTTATTTCTATGGGGAAAATAAAGGAAATTCTTTTACATTACTCACAGAAATAGATGCAGATTTTGTGTGGGGCTAGAAGCAAATGTACTTTTGCTGGTCTTCTTTAAGAAAGTTTATACAAGATTCCTAATGCAAAATTAGGTCCAGGATCTTGGAAGGGGCCTGTCTATGTGAAAGGTGCTGCAACTTATGTTTCATTAGCTTCTCAGGATATTGGTTTATGCATAGCAATTCATTTTTAACATTCTCCAATTATGTTACATAATATGTTGCATAACATCAAAATAGTTACCTCTAATCAGAAACTACTCTTCATTTCCTGATACGCTGACCTTCAATTCTCTATCTTTTCTTAACTTATACCTGAATTGTAAGAGATAACATTAACAAAGGTCAGAATTGATATCTTTCATCACCTTACATTCATCTGCCAATTGAGATAAAATAATGAATTTCTTGAAGACTCCTCACAGTTCATGAAGTATTCTGTTATATAATCATACTCCTGTTAACCATCTGTTGATGTATCAAACAGCAATTGGGGAAACAATTCCACCAGATAAATAAGACAATCTGGAAGTGTTTCAATGTACATATTTTAGTGTTAGAGAAAGTGCCCTCCATTGCTAATGTAACCTAATATCTGACTTCAGCTGGGCTGAAGGAGCATCAGTGTAAGTGCATGGAGTGGATGCACACTCCTAAGTTTTATGTTTGGAAATGGAGCCAGCCATCTTTTCTAGGACAGATCAGTAATCTCCTAAAGAAAGACAAGAACACAGTCTACTTCCGGTCAACCACATCACGATCTGTAATAGTCTAGTTTTCTTCATTTGATCAAAGTAAAAATCAATCTAACACTTTAAAATAATAGAGTCAAAATAGCTCTATGAGAAAAATATTTACTGCTAATATTCTTAATCATGAAAAGAAAATCATTCCTAATTTTAGTTATGTTTTAGCTTTGGAAGTCTTAACTATATTTCTTAAATCATAATTAAATATTTGAGAATTTATGTGCTAAAAAAGAATATTTGAAAATAGCACATTGGTTATTTTAAACTGTATTGGGTACTGGCCACTTTCTGTAATAATAAACTCATGGTGTTATAGAAATGTTTGAGTATGCACAAATATAAATATGAGTAGCCCATACACACGTATGTGCATATACATATACATCAATCTAAAGATATGAGAAACATTTTTACTAGGCATAAAAATATGCACATTCAAGTGTGCAGAGTTTTTGAACTAGAATATGTTTTACATGATACTGTTTTGAATACAAATTATAAATGCTCATTTCTTGATTAAAGAAACCCTGTTTTTCCTGATGTTTCCTAAAAATAAAGTAAAATATGACCTAATTGCCATCGCTTTTTAAAAAAAATAAATGGCAGACTTTTTGTCTAGTTAAAATTGGTACTCTAATGGCTTAGAAACTAGGCAATAGACAAAACATTGTGGAAAGTAAGGGAAAGAATCATGAATATGTATACTAATCAGACCTACAATGGTACATTTAAAGAGATATTAGAATCAAAATAAACGAATAAATAAAAACATGAGACAAATCAGCTACTGGTGAGATAAGCAAATTAACTTCAGGAACAACCAAATCCTACCCAAAACTCTCCTCTCCAAGAGATGTTGCTATATTTTTCACTGGGCTAGAAAAATCTCAAGAAGAATCTGCTATTTAGATCTTATGGTCTAGACAGTGTAAAAATTAGTATATAAAATAATTTTTTACCTTTAATAATATATAGTTGGCAGAGATGTGGAAAAAGGGACTACAAATCAAAATTTGAAAACCCTATGCAAAGAATAAATAAAAGAAAGTGATAGAAATTTTCTTAGTAACCTACATTCATCATAAACATCAATCTTGGGTATATATTAAATGTGATAAGAGTAAAAATTAAAATTAATGAATTGGAATTACTCCACATTTTAAATCATCATTTCTACTTTGAATAATTATCTATGAACTCTGTCTGGTCTTAATGATTTTAATCAGTATAATTCTTTGAAAATTTCTTATTTTCAAACAGACAAAAATTAAGGGATGAAACATACTCTGGCCATGACTGACCATTTAATCTTAGATGTGTATACATAACAGCTTAAATTTTTCATAATTACATTACTCTCATTTGAAAATTCTACAATACTTTCTAATTCTGACATAACACCACTTGTCTGAAGACACACACTCATGCAGTTTCTCCTTCTTTCAATAAACTTATTATCAGTTATCTCATTTGCAGATAGAATGATGATTAAGGTAAGGAAACTACGGGCAAATCCTAGATCCAGAAGTGAAATTTTTTTAGAAACATCAGTTGTGAATCTTATTTAGCAGTGACATTTCTTCCTATATTTTTATGTAAATACATTCCTTTTCCTAATTGATCTGGATAGTTTTACCCACAGAAATAGTTTAATAAAGGATAAAATACATAAAGGAAATGCACAAACTGTTAAAATTCATCACCATGTTAAAATAGTCATGAACTAAAAAAAATTGTTCAAAATTACTAACATTGCATCAAGATGCAATTACAGAGATGGGCCTAATGTTTTGAATATTTTCTTTATTGGTGATTTCTCTCATGCTGATATTCTAATTTGAAGACTTAAGAATGTATATATTTAGGTTTGTTCACCAATGGGTAAATTGTTAGAAAAACAGGAGTCTACTCTTAATTTGTTACCAAAATGGACACAACATCTTGATCAAATGAATTGACATGAAAACCGAATGGCACATTAACTGTGGACCTTCCTCACAATGAGTGAAAAGATATCTAACATAATACATTCTCAAGGATTTTTATTCAAACAGAATTCTTGGGTTTGTCTCAGAAACAACAGCTCTTAGAAGCTGTTCTTTAATATGTTCAAGAAAATTCGTACATTCCCCCTCATCTTTTGTTCAAGTGCTCTGGGTATATAATCCAAGAAAGGATGAGTGATATCCAAGTTGATATCTAAGGGAAGCAATGCAATGCCAATATACAATTTCTGTCCTCTTTGCCACAACAATAACATATATTCTTTTTTCTCAGAACAATAGAAAACATTTTCACAGTATAGTCATCTACAGTATGTAAAACCATGTTTACAAAACCCCTATGTACAGAAAACATCTCAGTCATCAATGTAAAAGTTCTCAGTCATGATACATACGTTGTAGAGAATGACTACTATATTAACTGTCTATTCCTTTAGTCTTTTTTCCTAATCCCTACAAGTAGCTAGCTTTCAGAGACTCAAGAATTATGTGAACTCATGATGCAATTTGCATATTAGTTTTCTACAACTACATAGAGTTTTAACTAAATTTCTCAGAAATCAGTTTTAATACATGAGCTATGAATAAAAACAAATGATTCCTTTAGTCCATCACCAAAGTTGCAATACTCCAGGTTTTCAGGAAATGAATTAAAGATCCATATTGCATCTCTCCCTTGGGAAGAGTGTCAGGATTTCAATGCATTAGTTCATAATTTGCGACAATCTTCTTCTGGTACAACTTCCAGTATTATCTGTAATGTTCTGGTTATTCTATCTGCAAATAAATGAAAAAGAAAAATTAAAAATGCATAGAAACCAGAAATGCATAAAAAGAGCAAAACATGAGTTATTTGGGGGATGAATACTGAAAACACACAACCACCTATTTCATACAGTACTTTCAAGAATTATTTACTTCATTAGAATCCTATCATGCTCAATTAATTTACTTGTCACTTCTGTAACTCCCCATGATGGCTTCTCAGCAAGAATACATTAATATTTTGCATTCAAATAAGGACTTTTATTCATGAACCAGGCAACTGCAAATATTTTGAGACAACAGGACCAAGATAGAAATGAATGTTCAAGAATATACTGCATATTCAGTTTGAAATTGGTTTGTTTTTTCTGTACCTATGAGATCACAGCCAGAAGAATCCGGAGAAGAATCAGAATACAATTTCCATTCTCCAACTTGTATGTATTACTGAACACATCACCTTATCTCCCAGGGCCTCATTTATCTCATAAGCCTAGGGAGAGACTTGGACTGTGTCAATGATTCTCAAGGTGTGGTCCCCAGACCAGCAGCATGAGCATCACCAGAGACAGAAGAAATGCATTTTGGGGAGCTCAATTGTACACCTACTGAATTGGAAATGGAAGGAGGGGCTCATTAGTAATTCTGTAGACACTACAATGTAAGAGCCTCTGGGATAGAAGATTTCTAAGGTCATTTCATCTCGACAGTCCTAGAACTCTGTGACTCTGGCTTCAGGGACATTTTTGTTTGCCTCTTTATCATTGATCCCTATGGAACCTCTTCAAGTTTCTACTAATCCTGGACCAGGCTAGAGTTTATCCTCTTGATGGTTTCAGACCCAGATCATCTCTCATCCAGACACACTCAGAAACACAGTCTTTCTCTTCATTTATGACTTGTCAGTTATAAGAACCCATGCAAGCAATCATTAACACTGCAAATGACATTTTTGTATCCTTTGTTTTATAAGCATGTTCCTCAATGTTGTGTTCCTCAGCACACTGAAATATAGTCTACATTAACTACAAAGGGTTTGGCACAGTGCTGGCAAATGTTAAATTCTATGCCAAAGTTTCTCAGAATATATTTTGTCACAGCCCACTCTTCAGTTGAGAGCATAAGGGAACACTCCAGAACGATTAAACCCCATATTTACAGAAAAGGGAAATGGTACAATTATCCTATCAAAAGAGACTTTTGTGGGGAAAGTAAATATGCAGCAGTAGTGAGGGAGATCTGACTTTTGTAGGCAGACAGGGGACTAGAGTTATTTAATCAAAAACAAAAACAACAAATATAAGAGTCTCTATCATCTCTTCTTGGTATCTCAAGATTAGAATAATTTTCATCATTCAGCAGATGATTGATCTTGGCCTTGACTGAAGATGGCCACCAACTTTGCTCTTCTAGGTGACTTACAGCAGTAGGGCCTGACAAGGGTGTTCAAGGGAGCCAAGTAAAGCCTCTTGAGAAACTTCCCCAGAAAGGTGGGAACACATGCCTTCCTACAGCCATGTCTACATCCACACTCAAATGAGGTTGGTGGCTTTAGGTGAATCAACCCACGTTACTACTTGCATCCTGAGTTTTCAGTAATTGCAACGGACAAGGTCTAATAGCAACTATAGTATTTCTAGCTTTACCTTTCCGGTTCAGCTGTTATAAATAAACTGTAACAACTGACCTTGCAAAAATCAACCCTACCTGGCACAGGCATGGGAGCT